ACCTGAATGTGATCTTTTACATCAACGCCCTTAAGTTACTTTTTTAGCTCTATCGATCTGCAACTGAGACTTGTAAAAAAAATTCACCTCCTTGTGTAGTTTTGAGTATTTGTTTACTCGACCCGCCAATGAGGTTTCTGAAAATTTGTTTCATCATAAAGAACTCTACAGCTTCAACCTTGGGACTGGTATTTGATTGTGTTTTCGTCCCTCGAGTTCATCATCTTGACTGCCTGGACTATGGTTGCTCGATCTATATACCTTCCACCCAAGTTTATAGAGAGAACATAAACCTAACCTCTCTTTCTCTCCAAAAACCTATTTTTCATCTTTCCTTCATCGTTTTCGACGTAGAACATGAACTTGAACTTTGATTTAAATATTGCTTTAAGATTCAAGCTTGTTTATCGAATTCAACTTTCGGATTTTATCAATCGTATTCTCTTTTAATTTAATCGTTAATTATGAATTTGTGTTGAGATGAATGCTTGTGTTGATTTGATTATGAGTGGCTAAATTCTACTGCTAGGGAATAGGGGATTAGTGTTTTGGATTCGATTGTGATTGTGGTGTTCGTAGATTGTTCTTCTTATGCAAGTTGATCTTTTTAGAGGTTTTTCAATTATTTAGCTTGAATATTGAGAATTGTTGAAAAGTGACACTTCAACTTCCAATTGTTTTCATTGAATTAATTAATATATTTTTTATTTCACCGAAGCTAGCGCTCGTACATCACATTATTACTATGCCGGAATTTAATCCACCTGCAGAGTTTAGCATAATAATCCTTCATGAACTCACTTAGAGGGTATCATCAAACTAACGTACATGGTGAGCGTAAACATCCTAATAGCACATCATACATACATCAATATTACCCAAGATAGTACGAATATTAGTCCAGCAAACTGAACCTAACCAAAGTGAATCAAAGTAATATTTATTGTATATACATGTCTGTTTAATATCTTACAAGTCAAGAGAACGCAACAATTAATTGAGGCCTAGTTCGTTTACGAAAATCAGTATAAAACGAACTTCTCATCTCTGGGATCCTGTCCAATACATAAATGTACTAGTGCAACTAATCATTCAAGACCAACTGTACCGTTGACACTACAACCGTTTGGACGGGGTGTTAATTTTCATCAAGGTTGTGAACCACAATTCTTGTTTCGCAAGTAACTGAAAGAATGATCTTTTGTTCACTTGATGATGACCCATTCTATCTAAATGCAAAACAACAGAACATAGAACTTGTTTAATGAAACATGATTCTCATTCATAAAGGGTAAAAGTGTAATATCATCCAAAGCCAAGCTTTTAGTATATAACACGAACATTAGACACCATCACAATATTCGACAGCCACTCATGGAATTCTATCTCGACCACATGTCCCTCCCTAAGTAGCTTATCGACCTTCTGCTCTATGATCTTGTCCATTTCTGCTCTGGGATATCTTCTCTTTTGGCGCACAGTTCGAACGCTGAGATCAATATTCAACTTATGCTTGATGATGCTCGCATCGATTTTCGTGAGCTCCTCCGCTGAATAGCCAAAGATATCGACAAACTCCCTTATCAACCTTATGAGTTCCAACCTCAACCGCTCTCATTGATCTCTCCCCTGCCTGAATATCTATATTTTGCTTTCCTTTGTCAAGCTTGGACTGCTCATCCTTTGACCTGGAACCACTTGGTCTATCCTCCTTGGGCATAATCGATCTCCTGGCATTCCTCCGATTCATGCCCACCATTGTTTGGTAATACAACTTTGACGTGAGTTGATCACTCGTGACCTCACCAACTTTCTTCTTAATGGATACTTAATTGTCATGTGGTACTTCGATACCACTATGTGAAAGGCATTCACGCTCGTCCTTCCCAAAATAATATTGTAAGATGACTCTGCGTCAACCATGTAATGATGCGCTATACTACACTTTTGTATCACTAATCACGGGTGTTATACTAGTTACTCATTACAACACATTGTTACACAATTTTTTTCGTGACTCATATTTATATCTACTAATTGTTGCAACTTCTATATAAAAAAACTTTGGTAATTATATTTCTACTCGTATCCATTCACTCTCAATTTAACACCGGTGCGAGATCGCCTCCATGGGCGAGGTCACTTTGTCGGTAGCTTTGAGGACGGGTTCGACTAGGAAAGTCAACCTTTTATGCTATTTTTTCGCTATTTTCACGCTAAACTGCCAAACGAACAAAGTCATCAAAATTTTTCTTTTCTTATTATATTAAAGTCATCCGATTCGAAAAAATCGTACACCATCGCGGAGCTCTCGTCGATCTTGTTCTACCCTTAAAGTTTCAAGCAAAAATTCCATCGCGAGGACCGTCGATTTTACGGTCAAAGTATTTGGATCTAAAACAAAATTAGTCAACTCCCGGTCATCTTCTCCAATTTGTCAGCGATTTCTGGCGAACCGCTTTAATCCGACGCCACCATCAGAATCGTCCCGCCAAGGCGCACGCGTGTACTGTCACCTTGGTCGGAGCCGTCGTTCTATTTTCCGGCAGATATTTCAGGCGAGTCCATGGCCACTCAGGTCCGCAGTTCTGCTTCGCAGCCCGTGTTCCAGCTTACCAGGCGTTGGTCCGCGTAGCCCAGCCCGTGTACG